AAAGCTTGCATTCAGATGAAATTAAGAACTCCTGAGATATCTTAGCCTATTGGGTGTCAAAAACTTTGTGGAGCTGAGCATCTATAGACTTTGCATCAATGATGCATTTACGAAGTGTTGCCTGTACTGTCAACTAAGCGAGATGTGCAGTGATGTTCTTAACTACTAAATCAATCTTAGCTTTTTGGATCTTCTCTGGAAGCTTGCTCTGTTGAGTGACAAATGCAGAGGTGTCGACTGTCTTCCTACTCAAGGTATGAGCTACCACATTAGCCTTGCTAGGATGATATAGGATCTCAACATTGTAGTCTTTCACTAGCTCGAGCCACCTCCTTTGTCTCATATTCAACTCCTTTTGGGTGAAAAGAAAATATTTAAGGTTCTTGTGGTCAGTGTACACTTAGTCTCACCATACCGATAATGCTGCCATGACTTCTGTGCGAACACCATGACCGCTAGCTCCAAGTCATCGGTAGGATAATTCCACTCATATTCCTTTAACTGTCTAGAGAAATGAACGTAATTAATTTCTCATTCTGCATAAGCACTCAACTCAAGCACTTAGCTGAGGCGTCACTATACGCTACAAAGAATGGTGCAGTCACCAACTTCTTTTTAAACTCTGGGAAGCCTCTTCACAATCTCAAGTCCACACAACGTTTTTCTTTTCCTTTTTTTTTTTTTATTGTCAACTGAGTTATCGCAACCGACATTTTCGAGTAGTCTTGGACAAATCTCATGTAGTAGCCAATCAAGCCCAAAAAGCCTGTTACCTCTAGTTGTCGGCCTTGGTACCCACATGACAGCTTCAACCTTAGTTGGATCCACGATAATTTCCCCTCTTGAGACAACATGTCATAAAAATGCTACTTTTCAAAGCCAAAATTCACACTTAGAAACATTGACACATTCTCAAAACAGTCAAAACCATTTGCAGGCGATCTTCATGCTCTACTTTGGTCTTAGCAAGGTCCACAGTTATTCCCTGCCTGGATACCACGTGTTCAAGGAAGATCACACTCTAAGTCCTCTAATAAAATATAGAAACTCACAATTGTCAAGAAGGTGCTAGTCCCAAGAATAGAGCAAACTGTACCTGTTGGGCCCGGGCTGTTGCAAATTCTCCTCTACTTAGGAACTTTCGTCCCCGAAAGTTAGTTGTTCCTTAAAAAGTTCAGGGTAAGACTTCCTAACGTCATCCTCCTGCTCCCATGTAGCCTTGTTATCAAGATGATTACCCCACAAGACGTTGACAAGGAGAATCTCCTTGTTTCGCAATAGCTTGACATCTCGACATATAATTTTGATTGGGGCCTCCTCGTAAGATAGATCCTCACGAAGCGGAAGTGCTTGGTGCTCATTAATGTACGTGGGGTCTGGCGTGTACTTTCTCAACATAGATACATGAAAAACGTTATGCACAGCGACAAGAGTGGGTGGTCACGCCAACCTGTACGCTACAACCCCAATCCTCTCAAGGATTTTGAAGGGACCTATGAACTTAAGGCTAAGCTTACCCATTTTCCCAAACCTTAACACCTCTTTCATGGTCGTTACCTATAGGAAAACATGTTTGCTCACTACAAACTCGAGATCCTTTCTTCAAGTGTCAGTGTAACTCTTTTGCTGGCTCTGTGCAGTAAGTAA